TGAGGCAACTTGGTGGCACACATGTATGCCCGGAGTGGCAAGTTCCTGGATGCCAAGGCGGTGTTCGACTCCATCGCCAGCAAGAACGATAGGACTTATGCGATCATGATCGCGGCGTGCGTGAGGGAGGACCGCCCCTTGCAAGCGCTGGAGCTCTGGGGGGAGATGGAGGAGCGAGACAAGTTCATCGTGACGAGCTTGGTGCCACCTCCAGGCGCTCGAGGAGGAGCGGCGGCTCCGGGAGGAATCGCGGGGATTCGACACGAACGTTGTCGTCCAGAACGCGCTGGTGACAATGTATGGGAAGTGTGGGAGTCCGGTGGAAGCTCGGAAGGTCTTCGACTCCATGACGGCTAGGAACGTGATCTCCTGGACTTCGATGATCGCGGCCTACGCTCAGCACGGGAATCCACAGGAGGCTCTCAACCTTTTCAAGAGGATGGACGTTGAGCCGAGTGGTGTGAGCTGCTCCAGTGCTCTCAATGCCTGCGCACTGCTGGGAGCTTTGGACGAAGGCATTGAGAGCCTTCGTCCTCTCGATGACGAAGAGATGATTCAACTCGGATGAATAGATTCATCACCGAGTTGTGGAAGCCAATCTCGCGTCCCCGCAGATGGAGACTTCCTTGCTCAGCATGTACGCGAGGTGTGGAAGCCTGGACGACGCGAAGCGCGTGTTTAACAGGATGAAGACGAGAGACGCCTTCTCTTGCAATGCGATGATCGCCGCCTTCACACAGCACGGTCATAAGAAACAGGCACAGTCAGGATTTACAGGAAGATGGAGCAGGAGGGTATTCCAGACGACGGAATCACGTTCGTGAGCGTCCTGGTTGCTTGCAGCCATACTTCACTCGTGGCTGATTGTCGAGATTTCCTCCAGTCTTTGTGATGGACCACGGGGTGGTACCATTGGTGGAGCACTACCTTTGCATGGTGGACGTTCCGGGCCGCTCGGGAAGACTGGGAGACGCCGAAGAGCTGGTGGAAACTATGCCATATCAAGCAGATGCAGGGGCCTGGATGACTTTACTGTCGGGTTGCAAGCGCCACGGTGACTTGGATCGTGGCGAGAGAGCCGCCAGGAAAGTTTTCGAGCTAGCACCGGCAGAAACTCTCCCTTACGTCTTCCTCTCCAACATGTACGCGGCTGCCAAGCGATTTGACGACGCTCGAAGAGTCCGGAAGGAGATGAAGGAGCGCAGAGTGACGAGGCCAGTGGCAGTAAGCTGCATCGAGATTGACAGCGAGCTACACATGTTTACGAGTGGTGGTAGAGACGAGCAGCAGGAGGGTCACGACGGCCGGACGATGGAGAGGGTCCGGTCCCTGCTGCTGGAACTTTTAGAGCCCATGAAGCAAGCTGGATACGTCCCCGACACGAGGGAAGTTTACTTGGAGCAGCAGGGTGGCACAAGCGAGGAGGAGAAACAACGTAGCCTGTGCTTCCACAGCGAAAGGCTTGCCATCGCCTACGGACTGATCGCTGCCAAAGATCCAGACGATTCTCGTCCGCTGAGAGTCGTCAACAGCCACCGGGTGGGCTCCACTCTGCGATCAAACTCCTCTCAGATATCACTTAGAGGAGGATTTTTGTGAGAGATGGGAGCCGGTTCCACCACTTTGAGAAGGGAGCCTGCTCGTGTGGGGATCACTGGTGAAGTTACGTTTCTTTTGTTTCACCATATGTCCACGTGGTGGGCACAGTTGGCGGGGGACAAAGTCAGAACAAGAAAATCGCGCCGCATAAAGGTACGTCGCAAAGTCAAAAGTTCCTATACTTTCGTGTCTTTGTGGCGCACCTTGACTGACTGATGGATTGCAGGGCTCTCCATCAAAATCTGGAAGAGGAGTGAAGTAGTAACAAGTTGCAGATGATGGAACTCATGATCTGGCTGATCCTGTTGAGCACGCTTGGATCCTCTACAGCGTCACTCAACGCACACAAAGCTGGGGTCTTGGTTGCATTGAAAAGGAGCCTCCTGGGACTGGGAAACACCTCAGACTGGACTGTGGAAAACTCCGATCGAGCATGCACCGACTGGAAGGGAGTGATTTGCAACAGTGACGATTCAGAGGTGGTGGAGCTTCATCTGGCAGGAAATGGATTCACAGGTGAGATCTCGTCGCCGGCACTCGGGCAGCTGACGAGTTTGCGAGTCTTGGACGTGAGCAAAAACCGGCTGGTCGGATCTCTTCCTGCGGAGCTCGGGCTGCTGCAAAGCTTGCAAGCTTTGGACGTCTCAGGTAACAGACTGACTGGGAGCTTGCCTCGGGATCTCGGCAACTGCAGCGCTCTTCGTTTTCTCAACGCCCAGCAAAACCAGCTTCAAGGTCCAATACCGCCCCAGCTAGGAGCGCTCCAGAGGTTGGAGATACTCGTCCTGGACAACAACCGCTTGTCAGGTTCTCTTCCTCCGTCCCTTGCGAACTGCTCGAAGCTCCAGGAGATTTGGCTGACGAGCAATGGTGTTGAAGGGGAGATTCCTCAGGAAGTTGGGTTTATGCAAGAGCTGCGAGTATTCTTCGTGGAGAGAAACCGGCTGGAAGGGCTCATTCCACCAGCTTTTGCAAACTGCTCGTCTCTCGAGCTCTTGGCGCTCGGGGAGAATTCTCTGGGCGGGAGGATACCAGATGAGCTTGGACGGCTCGAAAACTTGGTGGCGCTCTCACTGTATAGCTTGCAGTGGCTGGAGGGGCCAATTCCTCCTGAGATCGGCAACAACAGCAAGCTCGAGTGGTTTGATATCAATGGAAACTCGCTCATGCATGGCTCGATTCCAGTGTCGCTGCTTCAGCTCCCGCACTTGGCCACCTTGCAACTCTTTGGTTTCAACAACACCTCGGACCGTCCGGTCCCGGAGCAGCTCTGGAACATGACTCAGCTCGAGTCCATCGCCAGGATGGCAAAGCTTCGGAGTTTGCTCCTCCACGGAAACCAGCTCTCCAGAGTGATTCCAGCTCCAGCTTCGCCAGAGATAATCGACATGTCCCTCCCTCCGTTGGCAACCTTTCCAAACTTTCCATACTCTATAAGCTGGACGGCTCCATCCCGGCCACTCTCGGACAGCTTCAACGATTGTCACGGGTGGACTTGTCCGAGAACCAGCTCACGGGTGGTATTCCTGGCAGCCTCGCAAGCTGTGACTCCTTGCAGCTACTGGATCTATCCTCTAACCTCCTGAGTGGAGAGATTCCGGCGTCCATCGGTGAATTGACCGGCTTCCAGACCGCGGACAAGAACCAGGCTCTCAAAATATCGCCCATGACACCGTCGGGAGTGTTTCTGGAGAACTCCACCGATGCATACAGAAGAACTGTGTCCAAGGATATGGCTGCCTCCTTGGATGGACACACGTACCAGCAATACGCAAGGGAGTTGGAGGTGCCAGGGGTGCTCGACTTGTCGGCGAACCAGCTCACCGGTGAGATTCCCGCAAGCTTGGGAAAGCTGGCTGGAGTCCGGGAGCTCAACTTGTCACACAACCGGCTGTCTGGAGGCATTCCATGGACTCTGGGAGAGATGACGTCCATGGCAGTGCTGGATCTCTCTTTCAACCGGATCAACGGGACGATACCAGGGGGACTGGCGAGGCTTCACTTGCTCAAGGATCTGAGGGTCGTGTCTAATGACTTGGAAGGCAGGATTCCAGAGACTCTGTTGTTTGGCGCGTCGAGCTACGAGGGAAATCCAGGACTGTGCGGGGAGCCTCTCTCGCGGCCGTGCGAAGGAGATGGCTCGTGGGACGTGGGCGATGGTGCACTTGTGGGAAGGAGAACGTCTCCAATGGTGCGTTTGTAGTGGGATTCTTTGTTGTGGAGCGCCATCTTTTTACTTGTTTGCCAACCAAGAGGCCAAAGAAGAAGCGAAACAAGAAGATGGCGGTGGTGGTCAGCCTGGTCAATTCAGTGGAGGAGGTCACCGCAGGGGTCAGCGAGGTCAGCCTTCACTAGTACTACAACCTTGATTTTTATGATACGGCTTTTAGGGTTGAAACACATGTTGCAAGGCAAATGGGCAAGTGCAATTTATTTCCAACTTCTTCAATGGAACTTGAAAGCCCGAATGAACCAGTTGCCTTGGCGAATGATCCAGCTGACCCAGCTGGTATTTTTCATAACATACTGCACTCTACATCCCACTGTTGTGTAAGACACTGAAGCTGCAGAGCCACACCAGAAAGAAATAGAATTTATAGCTTCCAAAGTACAAAGCCTGCAAGCAACTTGATCGTTGTAAGTGAGAGCTCCAAACAACTCACCATGCTGGGTGGTGATATTGCTTGAGGTGCGGAGCATATCAGTCAAGGTTGCTCCAATAGCCCTGGTTGATGGATCCCAGACAGATAATTTTGCACAGGAGCATACCACGTGTTGCTAGGGGAGGATACATCCTGCCGCTGCTACATTTTAAACCGGCTAAGAGCTGTTTGTTCCTAGATTACTACCTTAACTTTTGCAGTGTAAAAGTCCAGGCTCAATTCACTCTGATGGAACCGATAGACCTGGAGCACTTCATGCAGATTGAATATGAGGTGCTTCAAGGCTCTGTTTTTGAGGAGCTTTCCGTTGCTTACGTACTGCTTGGAGCTATGCTGCCTAACAGTTCCTTTTTTACATTTACTAATTCTTCTTAGGTTGATGGTGTGATCCTCGTCCGAGAAACACTATTAAGAGGAAGGAAACAGTGGGCGAATATTCTTTGGGATCTTTACCATAAGCAGGTGCATAGTTTTTCAGTGGAATACGGCCTATCTTTGCCACCACTTCTTTATATTAAGACAAGATGCCTCATAGAGACAATACCATTGGGTGATGAATATAAAGAAGTGGTGGCAAAGATAGGATGCATTCCTGCACCTGCTTATGGTTCTGGAAATGAGACTAAGAATACAAATTATTTTGGTTTGCTGAAGAAATCAAGTTGTTACGTAACAGATGAAACTGAGCTGGATGAGACTTGGAATGTTGGACATTTAGACTGCAACAGAAATTTATGCAGTTTTTTTTCTAGACTGATGTCAAATATGATCCAACAAATGTCAAATGTGGCATGTTCAGCTTGATGCTAGCTGGATGCTAATCTTCCATGTATCGCTCCAAAGGATATACCATGAAGTGTGAAGGTTAAGGAGCTTAGATGAATGGCTTCACTGCAGGAGAGAGAAAGCAGAAAGTGTATTGAAGAGACAGATAGATCACTTTAAACAAGACAGATTGAGAAGGCAAACTTCCACTTCTTGTTCACATTCCCTCCCCTGAATGAAAAAAGTTAGTTTCGCACACTTCACCGTTTTGCTCGATGTCATTGACAATCTCGACACCCTTGGGAATCTTCACCTCCTCTGACACGGAACGGGAACATTGTACTGCAGCAACGCTTTGCACTAGCAATACCTGCATTGTTCGTTCCTTAAGTATGAGCAGCTACAAAAGCATATGCAACGAAGCTTTCACAGCTTGTTTTGTTACCATACAGGACTTGTTGCGGTAGCTCTGGAAGTCGAACTGGTCATAGTTCGATTCCACCAGGAGGAAGCAGAGTACAAACTCGTGCGGCTTACTGGTACCGGCATAGATATTGTTCCATGGCACGCTGCTAAAGTTGGTTGCGCCAGCGTCCTAGGAAGGATAGTGTAGTCCACAGCCCCATTATTCTTGATCACTGGCCTCCATACATAGTGGATAGCATCGGCACCTGCCATCATTCGCAATTAGCCAACCAATGGTAACTCAGCTCAGCAGTAACTCATTTTCCTCCAGTAGAACAATTTTCAAATCTCCTGTGTCGCAACAACCTTGGTCTCGGTTCCAAAGGCTGGCAACCATCGCATGCAATCCACTTTAGATCACAAGATTTCCCGGATCTTCAGATTTGCAGTTTCTAAAATAGGTCATATCCGGTGAAAATTAAAATTAAAGGTTCAGTCAATAACATTAAGCATGTCATTTTATGTATAGTCCAAACATTTTTCCGTTTTGGCAAAGATCCCAAAGAATATTCGCCCACTGTTTCCTTCCTCTTAATAGTGTTTCTCGGACGAGGATCACACCATCAACCTAAGAAGAATTAGTAAATGTAAAAAAGGAACTGTTAGGCAGCATAGCTCCAAGCAGTACGTAAGCAACGGAAAGCTCCTCAAAAACAGAGCCTTGAAGCACCTCATATTCAATCTGCATGAAGTGCTCCAGGTCTATCGGTTCCATCAGAGTGAATTGAGCCTGGACTTTTACACTGCAAAAGTTAAGGTAGTAATCTAGGAACAAACAGCTCTTAGCCGGTTTAAAATGTAGCAGCGGCAGGATGTATCCTCCCCTAGCAACACGTGGTATGCTCCTGTGCAAAATTATCTGTCTGGGATCCATCAACCAGGGCTATTGGAGCAACCTTGACTGATATGCTCCGCACCTCAAGCAATATCACCACCCAGCATGGTGAGTTGTTTGGAGCTCTCACTTACAACGATCAAGTTGCTTGCAGGCTTTGTACTTTGGAAGCTATAAATTCTATTTCTTTCTGGTGTGGCTCTGCAGCTTCAGTGTCTTACACAACAGTGGGATGTAGAGTGCAGTATGTTATGAAAAATACCAGCTGGGTCAGCTGGATCATTCGCCAAGGCAACTGGTTCATTCGGGCTTTCAAGTTCCATTGAAGAAGTTGGAAATAAATTGCACTTGCCCATTTGCCTTGCAACATGTGTTTCAACCCTAAAAGCCGTATCATAAAAATCAAGGTTGTAGTACTAGTGAAGGCTGACCTCGCTGACCCCTGCGGTGACCTCCTCCACTGAATTGACCAGGCTGACCACCACCGCCATCTTCTTGTTTCGCTTCTTCTTTGGCCTCTTGGTTGGCAAACAAGTAAAAAGATGGCGCTCCACAACAAGAAATCCCACTACAAACGCACCATTGGAGACGTTCTCCTTCCACCAAGTTGCACCATCGCCCACGTCCACGAGGCCATCTCCTTCGCACGGCCGCGAGAGAGGCTCCCCGCACAGTCCTGGATTTCCCTCGTAGCTCGACGCGCCAAACAACAGAGTCTCTGGAATCCTGCCTTCCAAGTCATTAAACACGACCCTCAGATCCTTGAGCAAGTGAAGCCTCGCCAGTCCCCCTGGTATCGTCCCGTTGATCCGGTTGAAAGAGAGATCCAGCACTGCCATGGACGTCATCTCTCCCAGAGTCCATGGAATGCCTCCAGACAGCCGGTTGTGTGACAAGTTGAGCTCCCGGACTCCAGCCAGCTTTCCCAAGCTTGCGGGAATCTCACCGGTGAGCTGGTTCGCCGACAAGTCGAGCACCCCTGGCACCTCCAACTCCCTTGCGTATTGCTGGTACGTGTGTCCATCCAAGGAGGCAGCCATATCCTTGGACACAGTTCTTCTGTATGCATCGGTGGAGTTCTCCAGAAACACTCCCGACGGTGTCATGGGCGATATTTTGAGAGCCTGGTTCTTGTCCGCGGTCTGGAAGCCGGTCCATTCACCGATGGACGCCGGAATCTCTCCACTCAGGAGGTTGGAGGATAGATCCAGTAGCTGCAAGGAGTCACAGCTTGCGAGGCTGCCAGGAATACCACCCGTGAGCTGGTTCTCGGACAAGTCCACCTGTGACAATCGTCGAAGCTGTCCGAGAGTGGCCGGGATGGAGCCGTCCAGCTTGTTGTTGGAGAGATAGAGTATGGAAAGCTTGGAAAGGTTGCCAACGGAGGGAGGGATGGAGCCTGATAAGCTGTTGCCGTGCAGCCTCATGTCGATTATCTCTGGCGAAGCTGGAGCTGGAATCACTCCGGAGAGCTGGTTTCCGTAGAGGAGCAAACTCCGAAGCTTTGCCATCCTGGCGATGGACTCGGGTATTGCTCCATGGAAGAAGTTCCTCTCGAGGACCAGCTCTTCCAGGTTGGTGCAGTTCCCGAGCTCCTCTGGTATTGCTCCGGAGAGCTTGTTTCCACCGAGCATCAAAACTCTGAGACGCTCAAGCGTGCCAAGCGATCGAGGAACGCCTCCCAGGAGTCTGTTGTTGGAGAGGATCAGCGTCTCCATCCTGGGACACTTGGACAGCTCGTCCGGAACGCTTCCTTCAAAGCGGTTCCCGTTGAGTCTCAGCGACCGAAGCCTTGTCAAGTTTCCGACGATCGGTGACAGGATCCCTCGGCTGTTTGTCCTCCCGATTCCCAGAAACTCGAGCTGAGTCATGTTCCAGAGCTGCTCCGGGACCGGACGATCCGAGGTGTTGTTGAAACCAAAGAGTTGCAAGGTGGCCAAGTGCGGGAGCTGAAGCAGCGACACTGGAATCGAGCCATGCATGAGCGAGTTTCCATTGATATCAAACCACTCGAGCTTGCTGTTGTTGCCGATCTCAGGAGGAATTGGCCCCTCCAGCCACTGCAAGCTATACAGTGAGAGCGCCACCAAGTTTTCGAGCCGTCCAAGCTCATCTGGTATCCTCCCGCCCAGAGAATTCTCCCCGAGCGCCAAGAGCTCGAGAGACGAGCAGTTTGCAAAAGCTGGTGGAATGAGCCCTTCCAGCCGGTTTCTCTCCACGAAGAATACTCGCAGCTCTTGCATAAACCCAACTTCCTGAGGAATCTCCCCTTCAACACCATTGCTCGTCAGCCAAATCTCCTGGAGCTTCGAGCAGTTCGCAAGGGACGGAGGAAGAGAACCTGACAAGCGGTTGTTGTCCAGGACGAGTATCTCCAACCTCTGGAGCGCTCCTAGCTGGGGCGGTATTGGACCTTGAAGCTGGTTTTGCTGGGCGTTGAGAAAACGAAGAGCGCTGCAGTTGCCGAGATCCCGAGGCAAGCTCCCAGTCAGTCTGTTACCTGAGACGTCCAAAGCTTGCAAGCTTTGCAGCAGCCCGAGCTCCGCAGGAAGAGATCCGACCAGCCGGTTTTTGCTCACGTCCAAGACTCGCAAACTCGTCAGCTGCCCGAGTGCCGGCGACGAGATCTCACCTGTGAATCCATTTCCTGCCAGATGAAGCTCCACCACCTCTGAATCGTCACTGTTGCAAATCACTCCCTTCCAGTCGGTGCATGCTCGATCGGAGTTTTCCACAGTCCAGTCTGAGGTGTTTCCCAGTCCCAGGAGGCTCCTTTTCAATGCAACCAAGACCCCAGCTTTGTGTGCGTTGAGTGACGCTGTAGAGGATCCAAGCGTGCTCAACAGGATCAGCCAGATCATGAGTTCCATCATCTGCAACTTGTTACTACTTCACTCCTCTTCCAGATTTTGATGGAGAGCCCTGCAATCCATCAGTCAGTCAAGGTGCGCCACAAAGACACGAAAGTATAGGAACTTTTGACTTTGCGACGTACCTTTATGCGGCGCGATTTTCTTGTTCTGACTTTGTCCCCCGCCAACTGTGCCCACCACGTGGACATATGGTGAAACAAAAGAAACGTAACTTCACCAGTGATCCCCACACGAGCAGGCTCCCTTCTCAAAGTGGTGGAACCGGCTCCCATCTCTCACAAAAATCCTCCTCTAAGTGATATCTGAGAGGAGTTTGATCGCAGAGTGGAGCCCACCCGGTGGCTGTTGACGACTCTCAGCGGACGAGAATCGTCTGGATCTTTGGCAGCGATCAGTCCGTAGGCGATGGCAAGCCTTTCGCTGTGGAAGCACAGGCTACGTTGTTTCTCCTCCTCGCTTGTGCCACCCTGCTGCTCCAAGTAAACTTCCCTCGTGTCGGGGACGTATCCAGCTTGCTTCATGGGCTCTAAAAGTTCCAGCAGCAGGGACCGGACCCTCTCCATCGTCCGGCCGTCGTGACCCTCCTGCTGCTCGTCTCTACCACCACTCGTAAACATGTGTAGCTCGCTGTCAATCTCGATGCAGCTTACTGCCACTGGCCTCGTCACTCTGCGCTCCTTCATCTCCTTCCGGACTCTTCGAGCGTCGTCAAATCGCTTGGCAGCCGCGTACATGTTGGAGAGGAAGACGTAAGGGAGAGTTTCTGCCGGTGCTAGCTCGAAAACTTTCCTGGCGGCTCTCTCGCCACGATCCAAGTCACCGTGGCGCTTGCAACCCGACAGTAAAGTCATCCAGGCCCCTGCATCTGCTTGATATGGCATAGTTTCCACCAGCTCTTCGGCGTCTCCCAGTCTTCCCGAGCGGCCCGGAACGTCCACCATGCAAAGGTAGTGCTCCACCAATGGTACCACCCCGTGGTCCATCACAAAGACTGGAGGAAATCTCGACAATCAGCCACGAGTGAAGTATGGCTGCAAGCAACCAGGACGCTCACGAACGTGATTCCGTCGTCTGGAATACCCTCCTGCTCCATCTTCCTGTAAATCCTGACTGTGCCTGTTTCTTATGACCGTGCTGTGTGAAGGCGGCGATCATCGCATTGCAAGAGAAGGCGTCTCTCGTCTTCATCCTGTTAAACACGCGCTTCGCGTCGTCCAGGCTTCCACACCTCGCGTACATGCTGAGCAAGGAAGTCTCCATCTGCGGGGACGCGAGATTGGCTTCCACAACTCGGTGATGAATCTATTCATCCGAGTTGAATCATCTCTTCGTCATCGAGAGGACGAAGGCTCTCAATGCCTTCGTCCAAAGCTCCCAGCAGTGCGCAGGCATTGAGAGCACTGGAGCAGCTCACACCACTCGGCTCAACGTCCATCCTCTTGAAAAGGTTGAGAGCCTCCTGTGGATTCCCGTGCTGAGCGTAGGCCGCGATCATCGAAGTCCAGGAGATCACGTTCCTAGCCGTCATGGAGTCGAAGACCTTCCGAGCTTCCACCGGACTCCCACACTTCCCATACATTGTCACCAGCGCGTTCTGGACGACAACGTTCGTGTCGAATCCCCGCGATTCCTCCCGGAGCCGCCGCTCCTCCTCGAGCGCCTGGAGGTGGCACCAAGCTCGTCACGATGAACTTGTCTCGCTCCTCCATCTCCCCCCAGAGCTCCAGCGCTTGCAAGGGGCGGTCCTCCCTCACGCACGCCGCGATCATGATCGCATAAGTCCTATCGTTCTTGCTGGCGATGGAGTCGAACACCGCCTTGGCATCCAGGAACTTGCCACTCCGGGCATACATGTGTGCCACCAAGTTGCCTCATTGTCGAGAATAATCTCAGGTGAACAGGCTGTTCACCTGAGATTATTCTCGACAATGTGCTTGTGGACTCTCCCACCTTCTTCCAGGGATTTGTGGCGGCAGCACCGGCGGAGGAGCGATCCATAGCCCAGCGCTGGATCGCTCACATTCTGCCGGTCAATCTCCGCCAGGACATTCCCGGCGCTGGACCGCTTCAAGCTCGGTAATCGCGACGGAGCTGGCATTTTTCGCCATCGCGGTACCTGAGATTGGGGGCAAGATGCCGCTCGGCATGGAACTGCATCGCACAATCCCTTGCCAGCACGCCATTGAGCTCCGTGCGCGCAATCAGCCGCGGCAGCTTCTCCCTGCCGCCACCTCGCGACCGCCGGCATACGCACGGAAGAACCCTAATTTCCGGTGTGTAAGTTCTTGATCCCGAGCTTAAACGTAGCAAAGCTGCTCGTCGTCATATAGTCATATAGCGGCGAGATTCAGAGCCACAGCCAAGAGCCTATGATATATGTGCTAGCTGTAAGCTAGATTACGTTTTCAAATTTGTAGTACTTCCGATTCGCTCAGTGCCAAAGTTCTAACTAAACGATGAAAACACAAAATGAAAGTGATCACGAGATCGGCCTATGAGAACATTCTTCGAAACCCACTTACCCGAGCCGGACTGATAGCAATCTTTTCATTGCCGAGGTCGCCGATGTTCTCAACTTTCATCGCCTTCCATCGCGAAAGTAGCTCGTGGCTCCCGATCCACCTTTAACATTTTGAGTTGTTGCATCACCAGTGGAAGACGGTGGAGCCGTAGATTCGTGAGCAGCTCCTTGGCCACCAGCCTCTCGACGCTCGAGTAGATGTTTGCCATGGCTCCAGATGGCTGTTACCCGAGAGCTTGAGCACGATGATATCAGAAAGCCTAATAGTGCTGGGCTAGTATATTAAATCGCCAGAAAATGTGATGACTCTATACACTCTCAAGCTCTCCCCGATAACGTGGTATCCCATGCCTGGAGCGCATTGGCTCGAGCAAGCCTTCCCAACGTTCTCAGGAGAGCCCATGCTATCGAAGCAAAGGGACAACCACTACTGCTGAACAAACATATTCATTTCCATTTCTTTGTTTCTACTTTTTCTGATATGGGCGGGATCCAATGATCTGACTCACCAAAGTTGAAAAACCAAAAAAAGGCTCACCCGATCAAATATTTCCAAGCAGACATCTGTGATCTACCGAGCTGTTTCAGCAGCTCCAGCACCTACAAACATGGCAGTTCCACATCTATGGCCGACAACTTATGCCAGCGGAAGTGACGAGATCTTTCCAGCGTTGACCACCAAGACTTTTATGAAAGTTGAGAGCATTGGAAACGTGGAGATCATCGGTTGGGATAAGGTGTTAATACTGATCCACTAAAGTGAACTAATATACTCGAAAAGTTATGAAAGAATATTACAAGTGATTTAATCCTACATACACACACATTCTTGTTTATTATAACATTAAAACGATTCACATCAAATAATTGGTTTTAATAAATCCACATTTGGATCCGAATGGTAGAATGAAGGTGGCTTCTGGATGTAGAAACCAAGTCCCATGGAATGGTTCACCGTTCAGCAGCGGATTGTCAAGCCCATGGTAGCGTCCTGTGACATACACCCAGCAGAGGTGTCCAGATGTAAAACAAGGATACCATGTTGCATAGTCCACCAGGCCAGTTTCCTCGCCCATCTTCATCAGCTTCTTTTGGAGTTAAAGGATCTTGGCTTCGGTCTCCTGGATCATTTTGCATACTTTGTCGACAGCCTCTTGAAAGCTTGCATTATTTGGGCTGTGGCAAAAGATGACACAGAGATAGTTGTGGAAGCACTTGATTTTCATTTCGTGTCGGAAGGAGAAGAGAACATGATCAGCCACTGCGTTGACAAATGCTACAACATCTGGAGATTCAAGAAAACTGTCCCTCTCCAGAGCAACTGATATTTCTCGAGACTTGGGATGGATTTGGCAGATCACAAAGAGGCCTCCTCCACTAAAGAATCCAGAAATGTTAAACAAATCATATAGCGAGTAGTGGGGGATCCATGAGACTCCGAAAGCTCGACATCACCTCCTCAAACATGGCATAGCTAGGATGCTTTTGCTTCTCTTTTTTCACTCAAGATATAGCTTCCCTTAGCAACTTCAAGCAGAATATCAGCAGCTTTTGTCCCCTCAATTGGTGGAGGTGCTGCTCCTTGCAACTTGGGTAATGGCTCTCAAGCACAGAATTTGAGACAAGCTTGCCATAAACTTCCCTACACAGAAAAAAAGAGGGAAAAACCATTCACTCCATCAGAAAGGAAGAAAAAGTTTTAAGGATGATGCTAATTTGGAAGATTTTTAGAATATTTAAGTATATAAATACAAAAAATTATCAAAAATAATTTAGAACTGTGAGGGCCAAGTGTACGGCTACGATGCCGTATACTAATATTAGCGTAGTGGATTTTGGTAGCCGTCGGATTGGTTTCAATCCGAACCACTCGCTCCTGTATATAAGCTAGGGTTTTTGGGCTAATTGATATGCACATTTCTGTATTCCCTTTCCATATTCCATGCACTCACATTGGTGGAGATGAGGGGCACTTTTGATTGTCCCTGGGGAGTGCTTGGATTTGGGATTTCGGTTTAGATCTAGCTTTTGCATTGTCTAGATCTAGTTTTTTCCATTTCCTTTCTTTTGTTCTTTCCTTTCAGGATTTTGGTTTAGATCTAGCTTTTTGCATTGTCTAGATCTACCATTTCTTTCTAGCTTTTTGTCATTTCTCTTCTTTTGCTCTTTCTTTCTCATTCATTTTCATGGCCGATCCGCAATCTCCTCCTTTGACTCTAGAGCAGCAGTTGGTTCAATTGCTTGATGCTATGCGCTTGCAATTGAACAACCAAACTCAGTTGATGGTGGCGTTCACGGCACATGGTACAACTCCTCCTGCTTTTGGTGCCAATCCTCGCGTTCGGCCGGAGTTCTTTCGTGGGAATCCTGGGGATGATGTGTACCATTGGTTCGATCACTTCATGGTGATTGCCACATATCATTCTTGGGATGATGCTCGACGTTTGTGTGAGTTCCCCACATGCCTTCAAGGGACGGCATTGTAGTGGTACAATGGATTGAGCGTAGCTACTCGTGGCGATTGGAGTGTTCTTCCGGACGTCTTCAAACGCGCCTTCGGACACGCCGAAGATTGTGATGATGCCTTTCAACAATTGCATCGTCTTCGCCAAGGGCCATCTGAGTCGGTGATGCAATTTGGCGTTCGTTTCCGAAGTCTTTTGCTTCGTGCGGAGCCAAATATGTCGGAGCGGATCAAGCTAGGAATGTTGTGGCCAGCACTTCGTCAAGATCTTGTCGGACTTGTGCATGCACTTGCTCCTGCCACTCTTGACGATGCTCTTCGCTTGGCACAACGTTATGAGACGTTGCCTCTTCCACTTCTTGCTACATGTCCTTCAGCTCCACTTCCTATAAGTGATGGTCTTGTTCCCATGGAGGTTGATGCTGCTGCTACTCGAGTCCAAGGACAAGTGCGAGGACGTGGTCGTGGCCGTGACGTTCGTTGCTGGGCGTGTGATGAAGTTGGTCATACTTATCGGCGTTGTCGGCGCTTTCCGGATTGGCGACCTCCATTTCCTGGGTGGAGACCTTGGCGTCAGCAGCGTCCCGTTGGTGCTGCTGCGGTGGAAGGTTTGGATACCGAGGTGCATTCGGGAAACGAGGAGTCACGCGAGTAATGGAGGGACCTTGCGTGAATAAGTTAGTGACCCCTCCATCTTTCTTTCGGGAGTATCATCAAGGGGTTCACTCGGCACCGGTTCATCCAGTGTTTACTTTCCAAGCTCGTTTTTATAACAAGAGGTCTCCTATTCTTCTCTCTGTGTTGGTTGATATAGGTTCGAGTTTATCTTCTATTGCTTGACCTGTTGCCACACGTTGTCGTCTACACTTGCGTCGTGCGGCGGATCCAGTTTTCATTCTTTATGGCAACGGCCGTACACATGCATGTGCACGAGATGAGGCGGACCTGGTTGTGCGTGTGGGCGATCTCGAGCTTGAGTTGCAATCATTGCGGGTGGTGCCGAGTCAAGCTTTTGACCTCATTCTTGGTATGGATTGGTTGCAGCACAATCATGCCAAGTGTGACTTTGAGGCTTTTCCCCCTTGTCTCATACTTCCTTATGTTTCATCCATTCCTCTCACTTCCATACCTCTTCGTCCCTCTACTTCTACCTCTGCTTCCATTACTTTTGTTCCCCCATTATTTCCTCTTGTGTTTCCATCTTGTTCTGCTCTTCCCTTTTCCGATCCCTCCGATGATCTTTGTGTTGCAGCTGTTGACCAGCTCATGAAGGAG